ACTTCGCAAATATTTTGTTTTTGATCTTCAATGAAGAACCCTCTTTGTTCTTTTATATAGGATGTTGTTTTCAAAGTCGAGCTTCCCTCGGTGTCTTTTGTTATTTGTTCGATATACTCATTTATGTCCCTTTTGCTTTAAAGGTCTATAATTTTACATAATTAGAGAGATTTGAGAGGTTGGGATGAAAGGGTAAAAGATTTGGAAGAAAAAACCAAATCTTTGGAACTTAAAAAGTCTAAAGGAATCGGTGCCGTTAAAAAAGAAAGGAAAGATTTGATGGATTTTATGCCAACCGTTGTTGAATTTGTAAGTTTTTTGGGTCAAAATTATTGCCCCAAAACTCTTTCTAATTCACTTTTTGGCTCATTGTTCTTGACCATTACCATTATTTTTTCCCTTCAGATGAATAATGTGTTCCTTTTCTTTTCTTAAAAAAAACTTTTTTTAATTAATTTTTTAAGAATTTTAAAACCCAAAATATAATTATTTTTAAAAATTTTGGTTAAAATTCAAATGTGCTATAAAATAGGAAAAGAAAACAAATAAAAAAACAAAAACAAAACAAATCTTAACCATTGATACTTTTTTATAATGTTTTTAAAGATATTTATGCTAGTATAATTCAACTAATTAATTATCTAACCCAAATCAAAATAAATATTTTTTTTTTCTCAAAGGAATTATACCCCATTTGCCCCATTTTCAAAAATAGTTTTAAAATAAAAAAAAAAAAATCTAAAATTGTTTTTTCATTATTCCCTTTAATTTTTATTTTGTAAACGATTAAAGCATGTGGAAGTGGCCTTCGACTACGCCTTGTTCGTCACGTAACAATTTGATTCTTTCTCTAAATATAATTTATACCTTAAACATTATTTCTCTTCTAAATTTTATTCTTTAAACTTTTAAATATTCTATTTTAATCATTAAATTTAAACGAAAAACATAATTTTCATCCATATTAATACTTTTTCACTTATTATTCACTCGTTGAAATACTTGTCTCAGTCGATTTACGTGAATACAATGTATAAGACATACACAAAATTATATTATTTAATTAAATAACAAAAACGACAATATTGAAAATTTAGAATAAAAAAAAGAAAATAAGTTGTGAAAAATGGGGAAATTATAGAAAGGGAGAGAGCTACCAAAACATTGCATTCAAACAAAAAGACTTTGACTCAGTTTCTTCGACAATAAAACATAGAGAAAGACTTTGGAGATATCTTAGTCAACTTTTAATTTTTGAATTAGTTACATATTTGGTATAAGAGTAATGGGTGAGATTTTATTTCCTCTCGAGTTCGAAAATAAACAGTATAGAGATCAGCTAAGCTAGGTCGAGTCTATCATTTTTAATGCGATCAGGTCGATGAAATATGAGAGTTTGAACCTTTGATCTTAAACAAGCAAGTACGAGAAAGATTCTCGAACAAATGAGTGAAATATGAAGATTTGAACCTCTGATCTTAAAGAAATTAGTACTTGAAAGATTCTCGACCAAGTTGGTGAAATATGAGGATTTGAAGCTTTCAATCTTAAAAAAGTGAGTATTGGAAAGATTTTCAACGAAAATAGTGAAATAAAATAAGAGGTAAGATGTTCGAATCTTAGATATATATTGAACTAAGAAATGAAAAAAATTATCTGGTTGAACATGAATAATGTAAGTAAATTTAGAATCAAAATGTTCTTTTGAGGTCCTTAAAATCCAAAGAATCAATACATTCTAACCTTTCCCTATGAAGATTATTCAAGAGTTTCAACAGCTCAGTTGCTTTCTCCTTTGTCCATTCACTACAACCAACTTGCAACAATAACAAAAGCTTTTGAAATGCTCCAACTTGAAGAGCTTCTACTTTAACTCCTCCATCTTCTTCATCTTCATCTTCTCTACTCTCGTGCTTTACGAGCTTCCAAACGATCGACACCGATAGCTCGGTCGCCAAATCCGACACTCTAAGTATCTTTTTCACGATCACGGGCATCGTCAAAGCATGCGCATACGCCTCTTCTCTTCCTTGTTTGGTCTCACAAATGCCATCGAACACTCCCAACGCCCTCTCGCATACGCTTCTCTCGGCATCTATGAGGGTTTCGAGTAGCAAAGAGACCAACCCCATTTGAAGAAATGCCTTTGTGAAACCCTCTTGATTGGAAGAAGAGGCTATGGCATGATATGTTATGAAAAGTGAGGCCTTTTTTGAAGATGAACAAATGGGTTCTTTTATGAGCTTCATAACACCCTCTAATACTCCTTGGATTTCACCCAACTCGCTTACTTTTTCAGGGTATGATGAAATTATCTCTTTCAATACCAAAATTGAGCTTCTTCTTCTTGATTTGTCTTCTCCTCTTACAAACCACACCAATGCTTGCATTGAAGCTTCTGATTTTAGATGTTTAATGGCTTCTTCTTGTAGAGGGAAGATCATTGCCATCGTCGATAAGATTTCTTCTAAAATCTCGACCCTTTTCTCGAATCGTTCGGGTTTCGAAAACGCTTCGAATGCTGACGATAATACATTACCTGTCAAAATATAAACAAAAATAATGATGAAAAGGTTTGAACTTTGACTAACAGATATTGTCTCATTTGAGCTTTTCCTCCAGAATTTTAAAATGGGTCGGTTAAGGAGAGGTCTATACACCCTTGTAACAAAGTGTTTCATTCTACTCCCCAACCAAAGTGGGCGCTCATTTGTAAGAGTCGAAGGAAGGCGACCACTTGCAGATATTGTTCTATTTGAGTTTTTTCTCAATAATTTTAAAATTGGTCGGTTAGGAAAAGGTTTACACACCCTTGTACTAAAGGTGTTTTGTTCTTCTCCTCAACCGAGGTGAGATAGTTTACGAACCTGTTCCATTGGCAATAATGCATTTCTTGTTCCTTTCACTTTCTTGTACCAGTATCTTGATCTTCTCCACCATGGACTTGCATTCCTCACAATCCTCCCGCCCAGCCGCGGCGGCGATCTTGTCAAGAATCTCTCGAACCTGCACGGGGCTGGCGGGGACCCTCGGTGTCGGAATCCTCTCGATCCCATGAGCCCTATTCTCGACGCACCAAGCTTGGATCATCTTCCTTATGTTGTGATTAGGAATGGAATCAATGGTGTGTAAAGGTTGGTTAGTGAAGGGGCAGCTGAAATTGCCTCCTTCAATCCATGTCTCAATGTTGGCTCGATCGTAGGTGATGCCGGTGGACATGGTGACTGGGTCTTTCATCAAGTCCAGCGATATTGGGCACAGGAAATGGCTCGGGATCGTCAGCTCCGTCATGCTTCCGCCGCCGCCGCCTCTAGCCATCCTCCGGGTAGCCCTCCGCCGTCGCCAAGAAAACATCATCATAGAAAGAAATTAGAGGAGATTAAAGAGAAGGGGTCGTATTTATATTGGATAAAGATGGTGTTTATATGTGAATGGGAACATTGAACGGTCACGCGGGGGAAGTATATTATATATAAATATATATATAAAGTTGAACAAAGAGGGAATTAGTCGGACAGAAATGGGAGAGTTTGAATGTTGACCAAAGAGAGAAAGAAGAAGGGAAGTTTGAAATGGTAAATGGATTTTATTTTATTTTATTTTTATATATATATTAATGCAAAATTTTTTATGGGTAATTTTAAACTGGAGATGAGTTGTTAGAAATCATGACCCGCGACCCTCTGCAACGGTATGATATTGTCACTCTGAATATAAGCTCTCATGAGTATGCTTTGAACTTCAAAATCTCATGCTATATATTTAGACTCCCTCTCAAAGATCCTCAACTTGAAGATGGAGACCGATAATATTCTTTATTTTTATTATTTATTTTTGTTTATAAAATATTATTAAAAATTATAAAATATTTTATATTTAAAAATAGAAATTAACTATTAAAAATTCTTCACTCCCATTTGACCAATTCGTACCAATCACATTGAAATTAAGCCTAAATTTAAGGATTAAATTTAACCTTAGGAAGGTGTGGGGATTAAACTGGAAGTCGTTCCAAATTATAAATATGTATTTATTAAAATAATTGGAAATTTACATGTTTATAAAATAATTGTAAAAGGTTTTTTTTTAAAAAAAAAATTGTATGATACTAAATAAAATCAAGAGAGAGAGAGAGAGAAGCTGTCTTATAATTAAATCCTCACCCAATTATTGAATAAAAAAAGACCTATAATCATGATTAATATACCTTAATTAAATTTGTTTTTAATTAACTTAATACATTCATTTCTAAATTTTTAAATAAGAGTAAATAAATAACAAAGAAGGAAAGGCTATTAATTTCTTTTATTGATTGAAGCAAAATAAATTATTAAGAATTTAAAATTATTGGGAATACATACGCGGAATAAACGCGCAATTTGAATCGGCGGCCTTAAACGCGTGCCCAAATTCGGTATTTCACCTTTTTCTTTTCTTTTCTTTTTTTTTTCTTTTATTGTAAAACGCATTTTATCCCCCATGCTTTTCTCCCTTATCACACGCAAATATGTTTTTTCATATCCTCATTATTTTTTAACCAACTTATATTTCCTTTTATTTTGTTTAAATTCCATTTATACCCTTGACCTTTTTACCCTTATATTTTAAAATTAATAATGGTGTAATAATCATTTCTATTAATCTTCATACTTCTCCATTTTTATTTGAAAGAGTAAAATACAAGTCCACTCAAAATTCTATTGCGCGTAATATTGGAAATTGACTCCAAGTTGGCAATAGTTTTTTTAATACCCTTTGGTATCTCAAATTGCATACTTCTATAATCTACCGTTCAATTGTCCAACAACTTGCAATACAATTCAAATGACTAAAAGAAAATTGTTGTAGGATTCGCGGGTTCAGTGAGGTACCTTTTAAACTCGATCCAAATTGTTTTGGTTGAAAATTTCTTCAACTTGAACTCGAACAAATGATAGTCAACCCGAATGGGTGAGAAAATGAAATGTTAATATCTAAAACATCTAAATGCAAGCAATTCATAAACAAAGCATCAAAGTGGTTTATTGTAAAAAAAAACTTAACATCAATTCCAAATTTTTCCTTCAAACCAGAGATCTAAATGAAAACTCATAATCTTAATTGACCGTCCTGCAAAATTTGCTAAAAGTTATGGATACAAAGACCGAGAGATGATTTTTTTTACCTTGAGAGACATTCTGTGATATCATATGTAGCAACAACAAGAACTTTGTCTAGCAATGTACCAATTTTCGGTCATCGTCGGGACTACAGTAACAACTCGGCGATCTGAACAGCATTAAGCGCTGCACCCTTGCGAATTTGATCACCACAGACGAAGATATCCAACCTGCACCCATGAGAGAATCCCATTAGTTTTGTGTTCATTTTTCAATCAGGAAACAAACAGATAACTCTACGAGGTAGATGTTTATACCCTTTATTTCCATCAAGTGAAACATCCTGTCGAATCCTTCCTACAGCGACATCATCTTTGTTTGATACTTTCAATGGTGTAGGAAACTGGTTGGCAGCCCGGTCGTCTATAATGACGACTCCAGGAGCATTTTTCAGAATCTCTCTGGCTGTGTCCTGCATAAAACAGAAATAATAACTTAGAACTCGATTCTGGTATGATATTATCCACTTTGAGCATAAACTCTCATGGCTTTGCTTTGGGCTTCCCAAAAGGCCTCATGCCAATGGAGTTATATTCCTCACTTATAAACTCATGATCATTCCCTAAATTAGCCGATGTGGGACTTTCATCATCCAACACCTCCCCTCGAACAAAGCACGCTTCCCCTTAATCGAGGCTCGACTCCTTTGGAGTTTGTCATTTTTTCACTGCCTTCGTACCTTCGAGGAGGCTCGACTCCTTTTTTCTTTTTGGAGTCCTTTGTTCGACATTCGAGAATTTGTCAATCTATTGGCACGGCTAAGTTTAGGGCATGACTTTGATACCATGTTAGACGAACTCGACTCTCCACAATGGTATGATATTGTCCACTTTTAGCATAAGCTCTCATGGCTTTGGCTTCCCAAAAAGCCTCATGCCAATGGAGTTAGTATTCTTCACTTATAAACCCATGATCATTCCCTAAATTAGCCGATGTAGGACTTTCATCATCCAACACGTGGAACTATAATTTTGCGACTAGAATCATTAATCACAAACATATCGAATGGTTAAAGATTTTACTAATGCAATTACAACTTCGACATAGAAGAATTAATCTACACAGAGAGGTATGAGGTGATCTATTGATAAATGAAGTCGGACGTTTTTAGTCATGTGACACAAAACATGAATCAGATACATTTCATGCTGGACTGATGATGATCTCAGATTCAACTGCGAGTGTGGGTTTGGAGAGCCCATAACGAGAAAACAAATTCAAAGGAAAAGAGAACCGCAAATATCAGACTTTAAGAACTTCGCCATGAACATCACGGTGGTAGGTTTTATTTGCTAAATAATCTAATGCTCTATAATTCAGTTCTTGGGAATTTATGAATTTTTAGCTTCCTATAAGAAGAAAGAAACGAGAACAATCCATGAGTACTTATTTCCTACAAGAAGGAAAAAATGGGAAATAATCGATGAGTAATTGTTCAGGACCATTCTAAAGAAACTAACAATTGGCATCCATTATATAGTAATCAATCAAAGAAGTTCTTATACAGCGAATTTTACAATGTGCTCAATCAAAGAAGTTCTTAGAGCACTATGAAGAAGCATTCAAATGGAACGCAAATGTACCATGACAATATATTTGGAGGCCGATTGGCAGAAGTCCAAATAGGCTGTAAAAGGCTTCACCACATGGCCTCAAAAGTTGAAAGCACATTCTCTTAGATTCAGCACCATTCTTTTGTGCATTACAAAAGAAAAAGATAGGCGGAAATGTCCTCATTCAAAAGAAAAGTTAAAATTAAGAAAAACAAGTTCACTCTTTACATTATGCTTATAGCCCATCCACTAATCTTTGAGGAGGCCTCACCCACCCCAAGGCCAAATTATAAAGTTTTCAACTTAGGGGCTTAAATCCAAGACCTTGGAGGTTATCTCCGAGCATCCCAAGCCATTACCCTCAAGGCCTACCCCTTGGGTCCTGACATGATATTTTAACAACTAGGGTGGATTTCCATTTCCCATACAAAAGTCTGGGAAAAGGCACTTCAAAATCATTTCATTCTCAACCTAAAATAAGCAGAGGAAAACTAAGAATCTATATGCCAGCAATCAACAAATATCTCAAGAAGAATACACGATAGCACTGATCAAAACAATATAAAAATAAAATCTTACCTCATCAAGGGGATTCTCAAATTGAAGATTCACACTCTCAGCATGTGCACGCATGACAGGAACTCGTATGCAAGTGGCAGTAACTTTAACATTAGCATCACTCTTGAGGGGCATAAAGCAAGTCGGTTAGAGTACAACGCAATTCCATTTACCAATTTCCAAAGAAAAACAATTCACAAACGTTGTGCAAATAAAGTTTAGGGCGTAAGTGGTATCCATAATTCACAACCAACACTCACCCATATTTTCCGAGTTTCTTTTACTAATTTCATTTCCTCTTCGTTGTATCCATTTGAAAGAACAGATGCATTGTGGGAGAACAAATTGAAAGCATACTGCACCAAGGAGAAGAAACTGAGAAAATGGAAATAGAAATTTGACCCTAAAAAAAGGACACATAAAGATAAGTGTCATTGTAAAAGAGACTGACCTGATCCCTAAATATATTACAAGTTGGTGGTTTTCCTTCCAGGACCTTCAAAAAAGGAAGAGAAGCAAAACAGTTTAGAATAGCCATTGAAATGAACTAATAAACCATCCAAAAGATAAGACGTCAAAGAAAAAGCAATCCAGATTATGAGATACAATAAACGGAAAAAACCTCGCGAGTCTGTTGCACAAGCTCTTCCATTGCTGCAGCACCAGCACCACTAGCTGCTTGATATGTACTAACAACCATGCGTAAAACCTGTCATTTTCAATACCGGTATATATCTACCATTAAGGGTGACCTTGAAATGAAATTTAGGAGAGTAAAAAGTGATTTAGCACATTGAAAATACTTATTAAATTTTTATAGCATTTTGGAAGTACTTAAATGCTTATAGGAGAAGCACTTAAAAGCACAATTAAGGAAACATCAAAAGGCAGGCTACTTTTGAAAGAAAAAGCAAATGCTGAGAGTAAAATCTCAAACTCAAACACAGCTCGCGTGTCATTCCCAAAAATTGTAAACAGAACAAAGGGAAAAAAATAAGAAGAAGATGAAAGAATCAATCGCAAAACCTTAGCGTGACGATGCAGAGGAGTGACAGCCATCAAGCAGATGATGGTTGAGCAATTAGGATTGGCAATCAAAGCGCCCTTGCCAGTCCCAACCTTAATCCCCTTCATGGCTTCGGGATTAACCTCCGGAATAACAAGAGGCACATTCTCATCCATCCGAAATGCGGAGCTATTATCGACCACAATAGTCCCCTTCTCAGCGGCGAGCGGTCCAAACTTCTTGCTGATGGATCCTCCAGCGCTGAAGAGAGCAATGTCCACACCATCGAAGCTATCCGCAGTGAGCTCCTCAACAATATGCTCTTCGTCATGAAAGCGAACGGACTTGCCAGCGGAGCGCTTCGAGGCTAGCATCTTAATGGAGCGATAAGGGAATCCACGGTCGGAAAGGACAGAGAGAAATTCCTGGCCGACGGCGCCAGTGACGCCGACGACGGCCAGAGAAGGCCCGTTCTCCTGATACGCCATACGAACAAATCTAGAGATGCTCCTTGATTTAGGTTGAGGAGAAGCAGTGGAGAAGAAGAAGGAAGTTCCTGAAAAAGCTAGAGCCGCCATTGTAGAGAGAGAGAAAGAAGAAAAGCTTCAATGGAGCTGAGGCGGCCGGTTACCCACTGAATAGAAGACAAAACTGCTACTTTTTTTTCTTCTTAGTCATTTATATTTCCAAATTTTAAAATATTTATATATATATATTAAAGTTAATAGATAATAACTTCGATAATTTTTTGTAGTATCCTTTTTAATTGAAATTAAATTTTGGTATCTGTTATAGAAAAAAACAAAATATGTATTAAAATAAATGTAAAACTATTATAAAGAGTTTTAATTAATTTAATTAATACAATTTAAGTTTTTTCCTTTCTTCTTCATTATTACAAAGTTATTAGTCAACTTCCTTCAACTAACTTATTGAGTCAACCGTTCTTTCTTCTTCATTATTACAAAGTTATTAGTCAACAAGTCTGAGCTCGAGTTCAAGACCAAATTCAACCCTTATTTTTCATTTAGATTAATAGCTTAGGACCCAATAACTCAAACTTCATATCTCTAAGCACTCCAAACACAAACTTTCCAAACCTACAGAACTCCCCGCAACTCAACACTAAACATAGACGCATACTAAACAACTTAGCACTCCCAAGATGGACTTGTTAACTTCATAGACTTAGTAACTCTAAATTTCGTACCTCAACCGACCCTAAAAGATGGATAATCATAGAATTAAGGGTATTTTAGTAGGCCATAATCTAGAGACTAGACTAAAGACTAGGTAAGAGATGAAGATAAAATAGACATTTACTAAGATCTGATATCATGCGTATAAATTTTTATTGAATTTCATGTAAATTTTACCAAAAGCTATGCTAGCTTTAGGTACTGAATTAGCTTACACAACAATTCCATTGAAGCTAATAACATTATATATCTTATATATAATGAGCTTTTGAGAGAGAAATAATACAACAGAAATCAATTGCCCATCATCAACCATCCAAGTGAGGAAGGACGGCATCTTGAAGAGCAATAAGCTTTCCCTTTCCACCATACTCAGCCGGCAATACTTCTTCTCCAATTTCCTCTATCATACTTTTCCTTTCTTCTTCATTGCTCACAATCACAATCTGAAGTCATTAGTTTCTTTCAATTACATTCAAAATGTCGCCAAAAATATTAATCATGCCTCTTCTTATAACAATGATTCTAGCACCATGCAGTTAACGTTCATATACAATACTCACAATGGTCACTAACATTGAAAAGATTAAAACAACTTTCTATCTTTATTCTCCATTTAACATGTTCTAAGAGTTGTCAATCCAATCAACAAATCCAAGCACGACAGAGTAGATAAAACTAATTATCATTCCAAACGTACAATCCAAACATAGTTTAGTGAATAAGATACTAATTATCATCTCATTCAATTCCTCAACCTCATAGTTATTTAACTAAAAGAATGGTTAGTTTTAGTCCCCGACTTTAAACACATTGTTTCAGCTGTTAATTATCATCACGTATGTGTTTTGTTTATTTATTCAAGGATAAGATATCTATGGAACAAGTATTTGAAGGCAGATGCAGCGAGTCATTTGTCAATTTTTCTGGAATGTTGTTATAGAGATCACATACCTTTTCGAGTGTCACCTTCTCAAGGAACCGAGAAACCATCTTCCACACGCTGATAAAAAACCGTGGCATGTTTAAGATGTAGCACTTTGCTAGACGTTCAGGATAATAGGCCTGCATTAGAGAAGCCAAAAGAATCAAAACTTGCAATGGTTATGTTACAAGAAGGAAAAAAAAAAAAAAAAAAGAGGTACTTCATGGCAGTTTAAAATTCATGAACTTAATTGTTACTTTCGTGAAAGTTTAGGAATCAAAAGTACTTTTAAACCAATAGTTTACCTGCAAAAACTGAAAGCCTGTGATCAATCCACGGGGGTCGATGTTCTTGTACGAAATTTGCTGCAAATCAAGAATGCCAATCAGCTTCTCATTTCCGATTTCTCTTCCTTGGAAAGCACTGTAACAGACACCAGAAATACTAAACAAGCTATCACTTGAACTTGCCAAGATACAATTGTTTGAGCAATATGGAATCATATTGTTCACAAGAGTGACAAAGAAAGAATATGAAATTTGTTAAGCATGGTTGAAAATGGTGAGTACAAAGAAAGATAATTTGCAAGAGTTCTGCACACATGAAGTTAGTACAGATTGAGTGGCACCTTGAAATTGTCTTGTCCAAGGCATAAACTACATACTCTGCATAAAGATAAGAGATGAAAACAAGTGAATCAGATAATATCAATTACTTGATGCCTTTAACTCATTTTCCATTTAAATGCATAATCCTGCGCTGCTGGACAGAAAAAAGCTCAAGAAGGCAATTTAACCTTACAATATTTAATCATACTGACATAGAGATCTGGAAGTGCCCACACAAATGGGGCATGTATGGTCCACATTCACATGATCTTTTAGTCTAAAAATTGATGAACCGTCTGGAATTCAATTTTGAAGATTGAAAAAAAAAATCCGAAAGTGTTCTGAAACTTGAGATTAATTTCATTTCTGCACATAGTCATAATCTCAATCTTGTGATGTTGGAGGAATAACAATTTTATTTTATGGAAAAATTGGTCCTTCATAATAACATATGAATTGGAAATCTTATAGAATGTCAAACAGGAATGAGACATAGGACGGTCTGGTGGTGACCTAGAACGGTGTAACGATCCAAATTTTCGTTCTGATCATCCAATTTCCGTCTAACGTTAATTTTGCCTTTTCCCAATATTTTTCATGAAAACAATCTATAATGAAGAATAGAATGGTACAATTCAATCTATTCTTTAAGATATTAATTAATGAAGAGAGCAATCAATCATGGTGATGAAGTGGAACTGGTCAACCCTCATGGAATCAATATAAAACAAATTTCGAAGGGCGGGCTAACAATTTCAAAACAGATCCCCAAACAAACTCCAATTAAACTAAAAATCTGAGTTGAGAGATCTCACTCTTGAACTGAACTTGATCCTTCGCAGGAAAATGCTTGCTCCCTTTAACGATCATCACAGAATGCCCATTCTGTGACAAACCCTGCAAATAAATTTTCCTAGCTTCCAGTTCATCTTCAATCTCAGATTCATCAATTCGCCCATTCGGAACCATCGTATCCCTCCATTTCTGCCATTGTACAAACATCTTCGCTGCTTTCTCAACATCCATCGACCTCGCGATCAAAAACCTCATCATCGTCAGGTCTCCATACTTCTGCAAAACAAAGATAACATAAACAAACAAAAAATTCCAATCTCAAAAAGAAACAAATCCACAGAAACCCTTACTTCTGTGGAAACCCCATTTTTCTCGACTACTCTCCTCATCTGCAAAATCCGCTGAGTGTTCTCCATTTTCCAAAACTAACACAAAGATAATCACCGTAATCGGCCTTAACTACAGTAGAAACAACGAACTTAAAATCAAAATCTGAAACCAAAATTTCACCAAACTAGTACGATCGGTTTCAAAATCAGAAATTAGAGAGGGAGAGAAGGATTTAAAACAGTAGAATCAAAGAAACGAGAAAGGGAAAAGAGAAAAAGGGAGATCAGAGAAGAAATTTGAAGGAATGAAATGGAATTTAATGGTGGAGCCAGAAGTGAATGGATATGGACCGTTAGGAATTTTGCTGCGTAATATTCGGAAATGGATTTGAGAGTGCCTTTCACGCAATTCAATGTTGAAGAAACTTGCAAACCAGTAGTCACTATAAGTCTACCAAAGTCATCTCCATCGCCATTTTTTCTTCTCCAAGATTCTCGTTTACTCTTCTCTTTTTGCAACTGTGTGAATAATGTATATAGAGAGAAGACAACAGAAAATTACTTTATTTTATTTTATTTTATTTTGATATTTTTAAAATGGAAGAAATTGGAAAATTGAAATTCATTTTTTACAAAAATGTCTAAAAATAATGTTGAATTATTCAAGATGTCTATAAACATTTTGTAGAATATAAGTATATTAATAATAAAAAAAGTATTTAATTTAGTATTTATATCAGTGATTTTTTATATATATATATATATAATGAAAATATTTATTAATCCCTCATAAATGTCAAATGCCGTGTAAACTAAGACATTTAGCAATTATCAATACATATTTTCTTCTTTACTAATTAAATGAATCAAAATGTGCATTTATTATTTGTTTTATATTTATTTCATTTTAATTTATTATTTCAAACATTATATTATGCTCTTTAAAATCTTACATTAAAAATTATTTTAAATATTTTGGTTAGTTAAATAAATCTATTTTTAAAAAAATATAGCTGAAAATGGACATAATTGTAACATTATATATTTTCTTAAAATTTAAATATGTTATTTCCAGGTGGACAATTGAGAAAAATGATTTATATTTTCTATTTTATGGATAACTGTATTAAATATATAAAAATGAACGTCACATTAACTCAAATTGGTAAGTTACCTATTTTGTGAACAATAATTGTAACATTATATATGATGTGCATTAAAAGAATAATTATCTTAATATTATATGATATGAATTAAAAGAATAATAATTGTAATATTATATTATATAAATTAAAAGATGAATAATAATAAGTGGGTATCTTATACCATAAGTTTGTAGGAAAATGAATCACTAAATATTTAAATTGTCTCTATAAATCAATTAATTAAAAAAAATTAATATTTCACATATCTTAATTAGTGATAATACTTTTTATAGTATATCATTTTTAAAACTTAATTTAACAAAAAATACATTTTATAGTCGATGTAAAATTTGGGTTCTCTCTTATTGCCTTAGGACAATAAGAATATTATCGATACTAAAACTACGAGATCTAAAATAGATTTTTTACTAAACTATAATTACGAACAACTCAAAAAGAATCACCTATAATAATTATAAACGAACCCCACTTAAGGATGACCTTAATATCGAGATTTCGTAAGATTTAGTTAGAAATTTATTTAAAATTATGGAACTATCAATTTCAAACCTAGACTTTTCTGGTGTTAAAATTGATTTTTTTTTAATTTATTAGATAATATCAGTAATAATTCTTCTGGTAATCTTATATTTATGCCTACAATTACTTTAATGGTTAGATGGGTAAACGTAACGATGGAATTAATTAACCTAACCTTATAATACAATATAATATTTCATATCAAATTATTTAATTATTATATAGTAAAGTTTTGGCTAAATTTATAATTTAATTTAAAAATTAAAAAAAAAAAAGGAAAATAAAGGGCGGAGAGCTTGACCTTATCTCGAAAGGCCGAAATTCCGCCCTCATCGCATTTCTTTCAAAAACAAAATGGCGAACCACCTCCAAACATCCCCAATCCTTCACTCCGATTCTCTCCCCACCGTTCTCCGGCCATTTTCCGGCGACCTAAACACAACTCCAACCAAAATCTCTTTCTCTTTCTCTTTCACAATCCACGATTCGCTAAATTTCAGACCTCGCCGTCGCCAACGCCCTAACGATTGCGCTGCTCGGCGGAGAGTCCGATACGATGATGAAGAAGATGAAGATGAAGAGTATGGCCACAATGAACAGATTTCGCTGCTGGAATCCTACACTCAGGCCGCCGCCGGCGAGGCGCTGATCGTTCACGCGGCGCTCGATGGCGACCTTGTTGAAGTTCTCGTTTTCAAGGTTTTTCTTCGTTTCTTTAAATTTAGGGTTTAGGTTAGATTAAAATTTTTAATTGAGAATGAGATGTAAAATTGGACAGGGATTCTCATCATGCTTGAGCTATGCGACTTCATCTGATCCATCCAGAAGTGTTCTTCCAGCAAGAGCAACGATTCAATCCATTGATAGAATCAAGGGCCCATTTGATCCATCAAATATCGAATACATTCAGAAGGGTGTCACTTGGGAATCATTCAACTTCCCTACATAGCTCAATACCATACCATTCGTTCTTACAACCATCATTGTGTTAATTAATTGAATATCATTTCATTACTTCAATTTTATCAAATCCTCTCGGCAGGTTTAAATTTTATCGTTTCATTACGATTGCGCGTTCATGTTCAATCGTCTGCAACACATCCGACTTGCCTTTACACTAGGCCAAGTCATTTGGCTCGACCTTGCCGCTAAGGTCTCTCAATGCAACGCCGCTTCTCATCTTGTCATCTCGATCCCCATCGACATGGTTCATATGTCTTGGCGTCATACCCAGTCTCGGGATGTCGTTGGTCATGACAACTCGTTCGATCATGTCATAAAAAACGGGTCCGCGTGTCGCTCATCTCATCGGGACTTCCCAAACATCCATCCATTCATCCGGGTTCTATCGAGGCATTGACCCTCCCGTGCCCATGCCATGTTATTTACGGATACCGTGCCGGATAGCGGGTGTATGTAGCAACCTCCAACACACGGCTGGGATGCAATACTGGCACACTCGTGCCACCTGGTACTGTTCTTGAAAAACCCATTTCAAAATGAAGTCGTCCTAGATACTCGTCTCGGCACGCTCGTGACACACGTATGTGCCACAAGGTAGCTCACTTAGGCCACAGGGCACACAGGTTGTGAAGAGCTAATACCATCGTTACCTACAATACATTTTGAGTCATTTTCAATCTTCAAGGCACAGAGATTTTGGTGAACGGTCATACACGACGTCGGTGTCCAATTGACACCAAATTTGGCGAGCATTCATGTGAATTTTGGAACAAATTTTAAAATTCATAAACCATTTAGATATAAATTTAAAAATTCTATGAACTAGATCTACTTGTTCACCAAATTTTAAAATTCATGCCTACTCTTTAGGGGTTGACCATGTCGAGTTTTTGGGCAACTCTTATGGGACCAATTTCTTATCCTTTGTGCCTATTCGGTCTTTGGGTCAGACTTGATTTATTGGGCATCTAGCTCCCATAGTCTTTAAATTTTCAATCTCATATCAATTTCGGACTCGGGAAAGTTCGTCGATAAATCTTTTTTTAACCGAGAATTGTTAAGGTAAAAGGATTGGTTGAAGTGGTAATTATGAAACTCATAGGATAAATGGGGGAGTGGGACTTGTGTGTCAAGATCAAATAATAATAATAATTATAATTACTATTATTATAAATAATCATAATGTTTTTCAATGGGTGGATGCATGAGCATGAGCATGAGCATAAGCATCGCATGTCGATCGGCTGACGATGGGGACCACAAGGCATACTAGAAAGAATCCTCTTCCCGAAAAAAATATCTTCTATGACAACGATTTTCATGGTGACGTGGCGATTTCTAATTCGCCCCTGAACGCCAGATATTTTCGAACTCCAAATATCCAATCCCACGCGTGTTCCCCACTCTCCCTAACGTGGACTTTCGCTCTTTTCTTTCACCCTTCTTTTTCCGCTTAATTACTCAAATGCCATTTCCTTTTTAAATTAACACCAAATGTTTAGTAAGTTATAAATTTAGTTACTCCACTTATAAAAAGTTTTTAATAGTTTTTTTAATAATTTTTTTTAATGTTTTTATTTAATAATTTCTATAACCTCCAATTTTTACATTTTTTTTTAATTTATATTTCAGGAACGGAAAAGTTCCTGAAGTATGACTATTAATCTCATAGGATCACTCCGATTTGTCACCCATGACTCTAACAGGCCAACCCCAAGGGCCTGAAAGGCGACCTCCATGGGGTCGGTCATGCCCAAAACAACCAACATTTGAGGGGTTGACCATATTTGATAAAGTGATTTCTTTGAAGGCTAATTAGAGTCTCTCATGTCACAACTATTTTCATCTAATCCATAATGACCATTAATTTGGATAAAAATCTCACAAGAATGTTATCGCCTTTTGTTAGAGAACGAATCCTCGAGAAAGCATTACAATGCAGGATTTGTTGAAACACAATACTTATTTAGAGATAGTTGTGAACACAAATGTAAATTTTTAAAAAATTAATCACATTATTCAAAACGGATATATAATTTTTAGTGTACGAAAGGATTTTTCTATAAATTCTTGTGTAGTGGCAAATTCGTAATTTTAAGATGGGAGATGGGCATTTTACTTCATCGCCATCGAGCAGATAAATATCTCAAATGCTCTGTCCAATCACTTCAATTTTCAGGTTCCGACGCAAGAAAGAAAGAAAGCGGCGAATGGCAATGTCGAAAAACAATGATGAACCGGAGGTTCAGAGCTCCGTCAAGAGGCTAAAATGCTCTAAGCACGACGATGAACAGCTCGAAAATGAAGAAGAAGAAGAAGAGCAGGTGAGTGAGCTTCCATTGAAGCCAGGCCTGTTCTTCTACCCAATGACGCCAACTTCCTTCGTGGTCTCCGATGCTCTGGAGCCCGATTTCCCAATCATCTACGTCAACAAAGTCTTCGAGATCTGTACCGGATATCGCGCCGATGAGGTCCTCGGCCAAAATTGGTATGATGAGATTCAATTGCGCGATATATTTTTGTTGTTTTGCTGGATGTTTTTGGCTTCCTTTGTTTGGTATAGAAGGCAGTGGTAATTTCGGTTTCCGGATGGATTTATAATGTAATTTTCGGTAGAAGAAACTTTTGGATGCTCGATAAGGTGATTTGAAATTCAATTAATCCAGGGGCAATTAGTTTTGTGGTTTTGATCGTTTGTCATGAAGACAATTTATGTGCCCTTTTGAGTTGTGATTTGCATCAATTTCAAGTGGGAATCCTTTCCGAAACCAGTTTTGTTAATGTTTCCTGTTGCGAATGTTCTATGCTTGTTAAGGGTGGCTTTTTGTGCTGGTCGATCCTTTTAGCAAATGAATGATTGTTTGAATTCCTATCCTTACATAAGTTACTATATGATAAAGAAGCACATTTGATTGGTTTGAGTCTAAATTCTGGTCGGCATCCTGTTAAGAAAGATAGAGGAGAAGAAAGTGAAAGTACATTTTGATTTCCTTGTTTATTTTTCTCAAAAAGGCGGTGGCTCTGTGGAAAATTATGGTGACTCTGATAATTTTCTATCATTGTTGTGCTCTTTTTCTTGGTGGGACGGTGGGGGGGTTTACCATTTGATTTCCGTAATTCACAATGAAGTCCTGATGTAGTTGCCTTTTAGTTTCATTACAACAGCATGACTTTATCCAATTGAGTCCATAGTTATATACTGTCAAATGATTCCGGTTTATGTTTATCAGCGGTGATTTACTTGAAACTTCTCTCTCTTCGTATGATCTTGTCTTTGTACAGTTTAGTTTATTTCCATTGTTTTGTAATTGTTCTTGTGTGTGAGAATTTCATCAACTCATATGGGTACTTTTGTTTCAGTCGGTTCTTACAATATAGAGATACTCATGCACAAAGGCGCCACCCTTTGGTAGATCCAGTGGTTGTTTCTGAAATCAGAAGATGTCTTGAGGAAGGCGTTGAATTCCAAGGTGAACTCCTCAATTTCAGAAAGGATGGCACTCCTATGGTGAATAGGTTACGGCTTGCACCGATACATGATGATGATGGTACTGTAACACACATTATAGGAATTCAAGTGTTTTCTGAGACAAAGATAGACCTTAATCGGTTGTCATATCCCGTTTTCAAAGAAACTTGTGCAATAAAATATGATCTATCAGGCAAAAGTGTTCATCTGATTGATCAATCACCATTTGGTCAGCATAAAAAAATCTGTGGGATACTACAGCTTTCAGATGAAGTCTTAGCCCATAACATTTTATCACGCTTGACACCACGAGATGTTGCATCTGTTGGATCAGTGTGCCGAAGGATTCGTCAATTGACGAAGAACGAACATTTAAGGAAGATGGTATGTCAGAATGCATGGGGAAGAGAAGTGACTGGAACATTGGAACAAATGACAGATAAACTTGGTTGGGGGCGCTTGGCCAGGGAACTTACAACTCTTGAAGCTGTATGTTGGAGAAAACTGACAGTTAGGGGAGCTGTGGAGCCTTTACGTTGCAACTTTAGTGCTTGTGCAGCAGGTAATCGACTTGTATTATTTGGTGGGGAAGGAGTCAATATGCAGCCCATGGATGATACCTTTGTTCTCAATCTTGATGCTGCAAATCCAGAGTGGCGAAGAGTAAGCGTGAAATCCTCCCCGCCTGGACGTTGGGGCCACACTTTATCATGTTTGAATGGTTCTTGGTTAGTTGTTTTTGGTGGATGCGGCAGTCAAGGATTGCTCAACGACGTGTTTGTACTCGATTTGGATGCTCAGCAACCAACGTGGAAAGAAATCTCTGGTGGAGCTCCTCCATTGCCTAGATCCTGGCATAGCTCCTGTATGATCGAAGGTTCTAAGCTGGTTGTTTCAGGTGGATGCACAGATGCTGGGGTGCTTCTCAGTGACACATACTTGTTGGATCTAACAACAGACAAGCCAACCTGGAGAGAGATTCCCACATCCGGGACTCTTCCATCTAGATTGGGACATTCTCTGTCAGTTTACGGTCGGACAAAGATTCTAATGTTTGGTGGACTTGCCAAGAGTGGACACCTACGCTTACGATCGGGCGAGGCCTACACCATAGATTTAGAAGAGGAAGAACCCCGGTGGAGGCAACTTGAGTGCAGTGCATTCACTGGCATAGGCGGCCAGAGTGCTGTAGTTCCTCCACCAAGACTCGATCATGTAGCAGTCAGCATGCCCTGTGGAAGGATTATCATTTTTGGAGGCTCAATTGCCGGGTTACATTCACCATCTCAACTGTTCCTTTTGGATCCTTCCGAGGAGAAACCATCATGGAGGATTCTCAATGTTCCTGGACAACCACCAAAATTTGCTTGGGGACACAGTACTTGTGTGGTTGGAGGCACAAGAGTTTTGGTATTGGGCGGCCACACTGGGGAAGAATGGATACTCAATGAATTGCACGAACTCTGCTTAGCTAGTGGGCAAGATTCAGATCTTTGATTCCATTTTAATCTTGCAGCTAACCCCAAAGGAAAAGTTGCATCAAACGAACCAGTTGAGACTCCTCGTTAGCTACTGTAAGAAAAAAAATTTCCCAGTTCCTTGCTGCATTATGATTTTATTTG